GGGCAAACACAACAAGGGGATTGGACTATGAGCACATGATAAAAGCGAGAGCACACAAGGGAGGGGTGAGGATAGGTAAGACACCTAAAAAACTAGCTAGCATTTGTTGCCCTTAACGCAGAGAAACTAAAGCAGATACCTTAAAGCAACTGAGGCCAATAGGAAAAGGGGAACAGGTACTAGAGAAAAGGTGAGATCAAAAAGAATTAACCTAGAAGGTAACACCCATGCACAGGAAATCAATGTGAGTCAATGCCCTGTATAGCTATCCTTATCTCAACCAGCAAAAACCCTTGTTCCTTCCTATTATTGCTTATACTCTCTCTACAACAAAATTAGAAATAAGGGCAAAATAGTTTCTGCTGGGTATTGGGGGGGGGAGGAAGGGGGCAGAGTGGGTGGTAAGGGAGGGGGTGGGGGCAGGGGGTAGAAATGAACCAAGCCTTGTATGCATATATGAATAATAAAAGAAAAATGAAAAAAAAAATTCTTGTTGTTGGCTATGACTGCCTCCAGAAAACCAAGACTTGCACATGGTTGATATACAACCATCAGTACCAAAGGCTGAGTACTTTTTGGAAAGTGGTTCATCTTGAGATACTGTCTCAAGGACAAAGATATCATGATCTTCAAACAGCTAAAAAAGAGCCACATTCAAGTAAGCAGATTCAGAATAGGGTGTGAGGTCATATAATCAGAATATCTGAGCAACAGTCTAGCATGAATTAAATTTTAAAATAGAGAATCTTTGGTTCTTGATACAATGCTAAGATATGAAATAAGGGTTCAATAAATTAGTATTGGTATACTAAAATTATAGCTAATCCTTTCCAAGGATTGTAAGAAGGCCCAAAATATTAAAAAGATTCACCATATTACGTGACACCAAAAATAATACTCAAGCTGCTACAAGATCTCTTTAGAACCTTAATTTAAATTTTAAAAGAATATTTCTAGTTAAACCTCAAAAATCGCCTTTCTATACAGCAAAATTTTCTGAAAATCATGATTTAGTACTAACCTAAAGAGGCAGCACGTGAGGTTGCTATTTTCTATATGTGTACCGATAACAATCATGTGTTTAAGGACAGAGCTCAAAGAGACACAGCTATTCTACTGTGTTGCTGCCACTGCATGCTATAGAGGACAGTAAAGGGACATCGGAGTACCTAGCAGCTCCTAAATTCAGAAAGCTAAGGAGTCGCTGCTGGTACCTCACCTCTGGAAAAGACAAATGTGCAGAATAAAAGCTTTCTCCCGAATACAGAACGAGGCCCAAATGTTCACAGGAGTTGCAAGTAACTGTGACCGTAGTTGTGTGTTTCTGTGATTACAAGCCCCCATGTTTCTATGTACCATAATGCCTAACATAATACCTGGTAATGTGGTTAAACATATATTAATTATATTTTCAAATCTACTATGACTATATCTATTTAATAACTTTCACATTTTAATCATTAGAACCAGAAAGCTAACAGAATGTCATTATATTTCTCTAAAAACAATTTCGCTTATGTGTAATAAATTTGAGTTCATGTTCTTTCATTCATTCATTCAAATATTGACAGAGAACCTATGTATCCAGGACTGGAAAACAGTGATAAACTGTAGACATTCTGGAAAGAAAGTAAAAACATCTAAGTTATGATGTTTTCTCAAAGCTATGATTGTACAAGGGGAAAAAGTAACAGGTACTTTTAAAAAATTATAATAAATCCAAGTATGTAATCTCAAAGAAAATTAAATTCCCCTTAAAGGTCCCCATATACCATCATTTTATGTTTGACTGGTGGCAAATAATAAAAAAAGACATGATAAATTTTAAAGAGAAAGCATCACTAAAGTATTACAGGGCCACACAGTATTTTCTAAGATGTGTTTAAACTGGGGAGGATTTCAAACATTCAAAAAAGGGATAATCTGATAGGAGTATCTAAAGCATGATATGACTTATATCAGAATTGCTAAACAGCATTCAACTCTTGGATTTGGAAGATGAAAACTGTCAAGAAACTGTCAAAAGTGATGACTTTAACATTGACAGAAAAGGAAAAATAAACACAGATTTTCTTTATTCCCCAGAGACCAGCTTTTTACTTTTTGTCCGTACTAACCCCTAAGCCTGTTCCCATTACCACTGCTAGAAAAAAATAAGGGTAGCACATAAGTGGGGCCCTCCACCAAAACTGAGCTTTTCAACCCTAGCTCGTGGCTTTTATGAAGGTCCATGTTGGCTCATTATGTTGACTACAGCACTCCACTGACACTTTGGTTTTTTTGTTGTTGTTTTGTTTTTAACAACACAAATATCCACACATACTCTCTCCTGCTGCACTTCAGAACTATGACCTCACCCTGCTAATCTAATCAGAAGAATGAAACACTCTGTCACGAGCCTTTAAATTTCCTATCTTCACCAAAGAAACTCAATTATTTCTAGCCAAATATTTAATTAGAATCTCACATGTTTAGATACAGCTTCCAGTGAATAGAAAAGATATAGAGTAGTACAACAGCTGAATATTACTACCAAAAAACAGGAAAGATGGAGGTGTGAGGAGAAGAAGCAGGAAGGGAGAAAGGGAGGGTAAAAAGAGAAAAAAAGAAAAGTGACAAATCCAGGTGAGAGTTTTCAGATGGAGAACCAGCCCTGTCTCAAGTCAGTGTCATCAAAAAAGAGGCTGTGGTTATATTAACTAAAGCATGAAATGTTCCATGCTCCATTTTGTCTGATAATACAAAGGAAATGATCTGTTTTCTCTAAATTGAGTTGGTCAATACCTTGATGGAAAAAAGAACTCCAAATAGGGAAGGATTTAGCCCACTCATGGAGGGAGGAGCAAGCAGCCACACAAACAAAAGGTCATATCACTGAGTGCACAAGGATCGCCAAGGTGAACTCTTAGGGAAAAGATGGCTGTACCAGAGAATCCCTTCAGAACACTGAGGCCAAAGGTCAATATGGAGAAGAACTCAAGAGCTTGAGATTTCCAAGTACTGTAGAATAACAGTTACTAGAATGTAAGATGGGCAGTGGCAGTGGCAAAACAAAGTACACATGGACTAGAAAAATAAACAGTTAAAACAGACATTAATTAGGTCCAAAGTAGCTGCACCCCAGAACACATGGAAAAGATCCTGACATTGACACAGTAACATATTTAAGAGAATATTTTGCCTAGCCAAAAGGGGATTCAGTCCTACACATACCAAAACCAAGCAAACAAAATGAGACTCTCAGGATTTTGACTTTGCCCCTTTCTAGGCACTGTTCAGGAGAAAGTACTGCTTAACCAGCAAATTTCAAGAATTCTTGTTCAACTGGCAAGGCAATCTGTACTGTGAAGAGAATTTAGTATGATCCCATTAAACTTATGAGTTATACAACTCACTCATTCACTCAATCAATAAGTACATATTTACTAGGGACACAATGGTAAAGAAAACAATCAAAAGTCCCTTTCCTAAAGGAGCACAGATGCCAGGGAGGAGAGATAATTAAAATACAAAATAGCATGTATTTATATGCGTATTTTTGTTTTGTTTTAAATGATGATGAATGTTACAGAGGAAAATACAGAAAAGAAGGAATGCAAGAACACTGCAACTTTAAACAGGAAACTCAGGATTAGAAACAAAAACACTGTGATATCTGAGAGAGGGCAAAGTGTGACTGAAAACTACGGGAACCACAAACAGCCCTGTGTTTATAATCTGGCTCAGTCTATAGAGAAAATATGTTCGGTCCACTGATGAAGGGACAGCCATACTTCTCATTGTTCAACCCTGGTTTGGTAGCTAGCTAGTCTTTGAGCTTAAGGAGCCCAGATCTCTAAATCTTCAACACCCAAGCCCAGAGGGTGGTCCACAACAGATTTACCAGGTCAGCTGAATGCTATTCTATAGGGCTTTTAGAGGAAAAACAAGATGACTTCTTGAATCTTCTCTGGTCTTTGGCAGCAGTGTGAAGAATGAACCAAAAGATGGTAAGAGAAATGGGCAGCACAACACGGTGTACAACAGGCAAGAGGAAATGGAGAGACTGGCTCAGAGGGAGATAGGAAGATGCAGGGAAGGAAAACCGAGTCCACCTTTCTCAAGGAGAAATCCCACAAAGAAAAGGACTAAAGGAAAATCAAAAAAGGGTGGGCTAGCTTAATCTGTCAAAATGGGAGGCGCTTTTATGGGTGTGGAAGTTCCCTCTGTGCTTTAAGGAACAGAAGGCCTTGTTCACCTCAAGTTTTCAGAAAAAGTAACTTTTCACATGAAGTCATAATTTAAAGGATCCGAATTCAATAAATGCAACTAAAAGAAATATGAAGAAAGACTTCAGACCAAGGTATGGAAATTAAAAGAGAACTTAATGTTCAGTTCTGAGGTTTCTTTGCAGGTTAAAGCGCATATGCACTTCACAGTTAATAACCAAGGAACAGTGTTCTGAGCAACACTTATCATAACCCTATTGAAAAAGTAGTCAAAGATGATGAGTCATTAGCCAATTCACAAAATACTCTTTTTTAACTAAGGGCATAGCTAGAAAATAAAATCCATGTTTATTACCAAAAATGAGAAGACAGTATCAAAGATATAAAATCCTGCTACAAATATGCATAATGTGCAGAGAGGAAACATTTCAGAAGAAACTATATTCAAGAACATTATCTCAACCAGCAAAAACCCTTGTTCCTTCCTGTCATTGCTTATACTCTCTGTACAACAAAATTAGAAATAAGGGCAAAATAGTTTCTGCTGGGTATTGAGGGGGTAGGGGGGCGGAGTGGGTGGTAAGGAAGGGGGTGGGGCAGGGGGGAGAAATGTATGCACATATGAATAATAAAAGAAAAAGAAAAAAAAATTAGAGTTTTTTGTGAATTTTCTTTCATAAAGAAATGTTCAACTACCTTTCAATGTCACATCTGGCTGGGGGCGGAGGGGTTAAGGTAATGAATTTAAGGAGTACATCAAATATATTATGAGCAAGATTGCAAGAAGCTTACCCAGTATTGATAGAAATTATTTCTATCAGCGGATTCTTCCTAATCTTTGGCAAATCCAGTCGGGCTCCCCCTAACCGCTTTCCATTATCTTTCTTCTGACCCAGCAGTCTCACAGAGTGACCTTCAAATCAAGCACATACATACATATTAGCATGACTCACACCACTCTAATTTACTGCTTGCAGCAAATGTGTTAATGTTTACACTCTTTCTTTTATGGGAAAGAAAAACAATACCTAGAAAATGTGATCATTTGAACCTAAGAAATTCTATAAAAAAGAAAAACAGCTGTGTTTAAGACTGATAGTCAAAATACTTTGCTTCTTGTATTTGTACATTTAAAATGGGTATGAGAAACAGACAAAAAATGTGCTTAAAACATCTTCAGACAAGGTAGGAACGCTCCCTAGCATGCACCAGATATGCGCATACAACAGGAAGGGTTCACATGGGCACTGGGCCTTCCTGCCATTAAACTGGAAAAAAAAGAACCATTTTGAAGAAAATAAAAAAAAAAAACAAAAAACAAAGCATCAGCTCAAAGCAAATAGCAAAACAAAGAAGACTCAAAAAACTGAGAAGAGATTGCAATATAGGGTTATTTTAAAACAAAACTTTTCAAACTTATTTGCATAAAATGTCAGAAAAGATCAGACTACTCCTCAGTCATTAGAATGTTTGTCAATTTTACAATTTTGAAAGAACTTTTGGCATTAGAAAAGTAAGAATACAGCTCCTATGCACCTTTCAGACTCTACAGTATCCTTTATATTTGCCATTTCCTCTTTATATGTAAACACACTTACTTACATTATAACTTTACCAAGATACATTCTATATTCCATAAAATCTGTCCATTGTGAAACTATAGTTGAATGATTCTAAATAAATGTATAGTTTTGCAATCCTCACAACAGCCTAGTTTAAGAACTACTCCATCATCCCTCAAAATCTCAAGTTTATTTACAGCCCATCTCTGCTCTCGTACCAAATGTAGTGCATTTTGTTAATCCACCGACCACGTGTTGGACATCTGGATTCCAATTAATAGCTATGACAATAATGCTTCCATGAACATCAGGCATACACACCTTTGTACAGACAGGTTTTCCTTTCTCTTAGATACATTCCTAGCAGTGAATTATATGGCGAATACCTATTTTCCATTTTAGCACCATTTTATGTTCTTGCCTTTACTAGGTATGTGACTAGTCAATATTTTCTCAGTCTGGCTTGTATTTTCACTTTCATTATAGTGCCTTTTGAAAAGTTAGTGGTTTTCAATTTGATAAAGTTCAAAGCTTCCTTCTGTGGGTCATGCTTTGGATGTCACATGTAAGAACCATTTGCCTGCCCCAAAGACACAATGATTTTCTGTTTTATTCTTGATGCTTTATTGTTTCTGCTCTTATAGTTAGGTCTAGGATTATTTTATTACTTTTTTGTATAGTAAGGGACTAAGTTCCATTTCTTTTCCTTCTCTTTGTGCTATTGTCACAGAACAATATTAGCATATATAGCAACTGTATATGAACATACAAAGCCAAAAATGCAGTACAATTATCACTTAATGAGATATTATCACCTTAAATGAGAAATAAACATGAAAAACATGTATTTATAGAATACTCTACCTGCCTGAATACCATTTCTATTACTTTCTATTGCTCCTTGGTATTTAAGTCATTTGGAATCCCTCATTTCTTTAGACCATAACACTCCTATTTATGCCTCCCACATAGCTGGGCTCACAGGCATGAGTCACCACACTTGGCTTATTTGTTGAGATAGGGTCTTTTTTTTTCCACCTGGACTGGTCTCAAACTGTATTCTCCTAATCTCCACCTCCTGAAGAGCCAGATTCACAGATATGAGCCACTACACCCAGTCTTTGAGAACGTCTGTATTTTGCTTTATCTGGAAAGGATAGTTTTGCTGGAAATAGAATTATTAGTTACCAGTGTTTTTCTTTGAGACTGAATGTCATAGGCCTTTATTGCTTCTGGTAAAATGTCAATGATTAATCATAATATTGTTTCCCTGAAAAGAACAAGTAATTTCTTCTGTTGTGCGTTCAAGATCCACTTTGTCTTTCAATAGTTTGATTATTATGCATCTAGGCATGGTTGTCTGTGATATCCTACATGGGATTGATGTAGCGATTTGAAACCATAAAATGCCATCTTTCATCAGTTTGTGATGCTTTCATCCAGGATTTTTCTCAAACTTTTTATTTTTTTGGCATTTTTCTCTCTACTGTTCTACAACTCCCATGACACATTTGTTAGTGTGCTAAATGCTGTTCAACAGGTCTTTGAGCTGTTTGAGTCAGGGCTCTCCAGAGAGATGATCACAACAGGATAGACACAGAGATAAAAGGTATATATTTGAGAAATTGGCTCACTTGACTATGGAGGCTGAAACATTCCACAATAAGCCAACTGCAAGTTGGATAATCAAGAAAGCCATAGCATGGCTCGGTTCAAGTCTGAGGGCCTCAGAACCAAAGAAGCTAACAGCAAAATTCTCAATCAGAGGCCAGAATCCAAGAGTCCAGAAGGAAGCTGTGTGAGTCCCAGAGTTCAAAGGCCAAAGAACCTGGAATTCTGATGTCCAGGAGCAACAGAAAAAGACTGTACCAGATCTTGGAAAAAGTTAGTAAGAATGTGCCCTTCCTCCATCTTCCTGTTCCATTTAGGTCTCCAGGTAACTGAATGGTGCCCATCCACCTTGAGGGTGAATCATTACCACTCAGTCCACCGATTCACATGACAATCTCTTCTGGAAGCAGAGTATTCAAATCATTCTGATCAAAAACAAAACTACCTGGGCTTCCCTTTCAGCAGAAGAGGGACAGGCTCAGTACCTACTGAAGCACTGAGAATAAACAGACTCCAGAGTATCCCTTTATTCAGTTAAGGCTCACAACCAAAATCAACCATGACAGAGGCCCTCATCATTTTAATTCTTTTCTTCAGATTATATTTCTCTTCATCCATCTTCAAAGTTACTAATAGATTTTTCTTCTGCTGCCTCAAAATCTAGAATAAAGCCCCCTAATCAATACTTCACTCTGTTTCTGTACTTTTCAACTCCGATTCCCTATTTTTATGGTTTCTATCTTTTTATAACTGTGTGTTCAAATCAGTCATATTTTTCCTTAAAAATTTTAACAATCTTGCCCAAAGCATTTAAAAGGAAAAATGACAAAAGCCCTGGAACAAGCACCACCTAAGCACATTGTTCTTAACCAAAGTTAAGTTATCATCACAAATAAATACTTCTTAATTTGTTGAATGCTTGTACTCATTTTCCAAATTCAGACAAAATTTGTCTTGAATATATGCTCAGTTTTATCATTGCTTTGGGGGAGATACCTGCTGAGCCCTCCCACCCCCATGCAATCATACCAAAGGGAAATGAAATCCAACTTTTTTTTGGCAGTCCTGGGGTTTGAACTCAGAGCCTTAGGCTTGCTAGGCAGGCACTCTACCACTTGAGTCACTCAGCCAGCCCAGCCCAAAATGCAATTTTTTTAAAGCAATCACTTAAAATAACTCCAAATGCATACTGAGTACAGATACATTCGGTCATCTCTCATTTCAGCAAGATATATTGTTTAAACATCTCCAAAACTGACAGCTTTTCACAACCAGAAGTAATAAAAGCCATCATTTGTAGCCCTTTTTTGCACTAACCACTTTAATAGGAAACATTCATTCATTCATTTTGAAAATTTTTGATCTGACATAGAAACATGGCTTAGAGTCAAGTAAGTACTTGGCAAACCAAATTCCACAGATTTCCAAAATAAGTTGAACTCTTCAACCAAAAAGTCCACTTAATGAAGAGTGAGCAAGATTGGCCTGTTAACATAATAGCTCTCTGAGAAATGCCAAAAGTTCAATAATGACTATGCAAAGGCATGCTATTTTCATACAAGTGTGAGACAAATTTCATTACTTCCTGCTGAGACTCCAGTAATATGCAGCCTGCACTACTAACATTTGATAAATTATTCATCGTCACTATCTACATGCAAATAAAGGAATATATCTATGCCTGATTTCTAATGATTCATTAGAAAGCAGCAGACCTAACAATAGTCTAGTTTTTTTAATTGAAAAATATAGTATTTTAAGACAAAGTAGGAAATAACATAAAAGTCACTTGTTCTATCTGGTCAAAGATAAAAGGAAGGAAATTCATCCATACAACAAAATGGACTAGTGAGATAAAGCTTGTATTTATGACATACCACCTCTTATAAAAACTGTGCTTCAAAGGGAATTTCTATTTCAAACTAATTCCTTAAATCTACAGGTCACAGAGTAAGAATACATATATTGTGGATCATTACCTATTTTATGGGCAGTGATCAATACTGGTGCCTTCTAAAACAAAATGAAATTTGGCAGAATGAAAAATAAAATTGTCTTAAAGAAGGCATGTCTGAAAAGAAAAAGAAAAAGTAAACATGAGCTCAGAACCAGAAAACCGTGCTGAAGGGGTCGGGATATGAAAGGGGGAATGCTGGGAGCAAATTTATTCTGAAGTGAGGATGCTATACTTATAAAGGAATCACGAAGCAAAGACCACATTAAAAACTCACACATTCCTTCTCTGTCGAACCCCCCTCGTTAGTCACTGGTGCCAAGCACAAACAGAAAAAAAAAAAAAAAAGGCTGCTCAATGAATACTGATCTATTTGTGAATTTCATCGCCCCTCTAGACGGAGTTAAGGGAAAGGGAGAAAAGAAATTAGGACAATAAAGTTCAAAAGAAAAAGGGAGAGAAAAGTCTGTTTTTGCATTATTTCAACTCCATGTAACAAATTAAAAGAGGGAGATTTATTAGAAACAGAATGGGAGAATGAGATTCAGTGTGACAAGATCAAGTAGTAGGAATAGGAGACTGACCACTGAGGAGAAAGCAATAAAGGCGTAAGGTGATTAAAATAGCAACATTCAACATAATGCAGGGATGAAACAGAAGACTGCCTTATATGTAAGTTGGGCATACCCAGACACTATGTTTCTGTGATCTTTTATCTTTTCCATTTTTAATGTAAATTCACATTTCATCTCTTCTAAACAGTAGTCACATGTAGCTCAGTTGGTT